GGAGATCCTGCATTCAAAACTCTCAGTGTTTGCCACGCAGTAACCACTCAGTAAACATTTTCAAGAGAATGTATGAATGAGTAAAGGTGGAAAATACAAATAAGTAACAATACAATATTACAGCCAGGAAATGGTTGTAATACTAATTAGATGTATAACCTTCCATAGTTTTTCCTATGGAAATACAGATGCGTATTACTACTAAAATGGGATCACATTACACATAACTAGATTTTAAAAAATATATTTATTTCAGAGACATATAATTCACATACCATAAAATTCACCTTTTTAAAGTATATAATTCAGTGAGATTTTTCTTTTGCATAATCATAAAGTTTTGCAAACATCCCCACTATCTAATCCCAGAACATTTTTGCCGCCCCAGAAAGAAACCAGATGCCCATTAGCAGTCACTCAGCACCCCCTCATTTCCCTCTTGCCCAGCCCCTGGCAACCACTAATCCACGTTCTGTCTCCGTGGACTTGTCTGTTCTGGAAATTTCATGTAAAAAATAGTCACACAATATGTATCTTTTGTGCCTGGCTTCTTTCACTTGGCATATTTATAAGTTTTATCCACATTATAGCATGTTCTTTTCATGGCTGAATAATATTTCACTCTGTGGATAGACCTCATTTTATTTATCCATTCATCATCAGATTTGGGTGTTTCCACTTCTTGGCTATTATAATAATACTATTATTTGACTACCAGTTTTGTGTAAACACATTTTCAATTTTCTTGAGAATCTACCTAGGAGTGGCAGTGCTGGGTCACGTGCAAACTCTGTGCTTAACTTTTCCAGGAACTGCCAAACCCTTTCCCAAAGCAGGCACAACAGTTTTATCACCTGTTTTTGCCCCTTTCGCACTACACTGTGACTGTCTCTCCTTGTCGATAAATAGACACGCGCATGACTACTTTGAGTGAGTACATAGTACGTCCTTAGCCTGCTGTACCAGAGAGTGTTAAACAAATTCCATATTGTTGGACATTTGATGATCCCATGAAAGAGGCTTTGAGCGTCTCCCCTGTGTCCCCAGCAGTTTGTAGATGACACTTTCCCAGGTGTACCCAGAGCACTTTGTATCCCCCAGTTTGGTGCTTTCCCAGGCATCGCAACCCCCCCACCACACACAAATCTGTCGTATCTACTAATGGTGAGCTCCTTGGTAAGGTGACCCATGTCTT